GTTGATCTTTCGAGATTCTCCCCTATCATTTCCGGGTCTATCGGAAATGATCCTTCGGAAATGACGCCGTGCTTGGAAATGATACTTTGAAGATGAATATTTACCAAGTCTTTGCCTCGGGTGATGATGAAGACTTCGCCTCGGAGAACTTGTGCAATCGGCTCGGGTATACAGGAGAGACTAGCTCGGGTACCCCGAGCTGTCTTGTTCGAGTACCCCGAGGCGATGGGCTCGGGCACTCCGAGACGATTGGGCTCGGGTATCCCTAATGTCGTGTCCGGGTACTTCCGAGGCGATGGGCTCGGGTATCCCTAGGTTGATTAGGTGGATAACCCCGGGTGGATGATGCGATATCCCGAGGTGATCTCTGTAAAACTCCCGAGGTGTTCTAAGTCTGGCTCGGCGCCAAAGGATGGAATCCGACCCCAACAATTGGTGGTCTTGTGCATTGTGTGCTCCTTTGGTTTATTTTCTTAGTTTTATGAGAAGTCTTTTTTAGTTTTTATGACGTTAGTGTTTGTCTTTATAAAGAAAACTTACACGATTATAACTCTCGACCTCTCCAAATAATTTAGTTGTCCTATTATTTTCTTACTTAAAACGCATACAATGTGGACTAAGGAGATCGTAAGTGTTCTTCAGTATCTTGACAACAAATCTATATTGGTGATCGGAGCTACTGACTTGGCCCACACAGCTGTGGTCCAGTGGTAGTTGAAAATTGGGGAAAGGTTGGAAGGAACTAACCCAGGTTCGATCTACGCTGGAAACAAAAAAACACATTTGTGTGGAAGTCTGAGCTTGGGCCAAAAAGCTCAAGCAGTTTACCTGGTAGTCCAGTAACAGGCGATCTGGTTACCCCCTATCATTAGTCGGAAAGTATTCCAAACTCGGGTCAGACCGTCAGACAGTGTGGTGGCCGGGGAGTAGTCCACTCTGAAGCACTTCGGTGCGTTTCTACCGGGACTAGTCGAATCAGCCGATAGGATTTATCAAAAAAAAACTACTGACTTCTTAGGAAAGAGTATTGATCTATATCTCTATGTCTAATTGTCTTTAGATATATTGGCAATAACGCTTCTATAAATTTTGTAACGTCCATTAATTAGTTTTTTTTTTTTTTACAAGGGGTATTTGCTAATTAACAAATCCTTTGAATTGATTTTGGTCATATTTATTAAATAAGTAACACGTTTATTTATTAGGAAAGTACCACTGAGTTGATAAATTAACATTTGTGGATACAGTTTGCTACGTACAATTATCGGAAATTTTGTAAAATTAATTACATGCATGCATGTATTTTTGTAGATCATCGGATTAGTAATGTATATTAGAGACCTATAATGTAAACATATTATATAGGTCGTAAATGTACAAATGTGTCCTTGTAGCGTGTTATTTTTGTTGTCGATTGGATTTAGATCATTTAAAAAAAATTCACCTCTCGGGTTAATTTTAATAGTAGGAAATACTGTAACTGCGTGTGGAGTCAATTTCATTCAGAAAAAAAGAGAATCAATTTCATAAAGAGGATGAAAGCAATATCAACATCGAAGCAGCTGGATCGACATGTGTTCAAAAATAAAATAAAAACTTTTTTGTTTATCAAGAAGATATACATTAAACTTCAAATAAATATTGTTTTTTTTTTCTTTTGAAATTTGTAATAAGTATTGTTAGTCGTTCTTAACTCTTATGTTAGCTTTCTTTTAACTTGAATGCAGTTTTTGTGGAGAAGATACTAAGGTTGCACCAAACTTGAGGAAACTATATCTTCTTCTTAGAGCATCAGACGAAAAATCTGCTACTGAGAGGTTCAACAAAGAGGTTTAATATCCACTTTTTACTACAATTTGCTAATTACTTTGATTAACTAGACCAAACACCTTGTTATTCAAAATTAAATATTGCTAGAAATATTTTAAAATTGTAATGTACCTACATTTAAATAATATTGCTTCAGTATGAATATTGAAAATGGCCTCCAAATGTGGTTAGCATCTAGGATATGAAACCAAGTTTTTATGTTAGCATTTTAGATTAAAAACTCTTTATCTAAACGATGCACTTGTTGTAAAACAGTCATTTTTACTTTTGAATATAATTTAACATTAGATTCAAAAAAAAAAAAAAGAATATTGAAAATGATACTTCGAGTTTTTAGGAGCTTATGTCCAAATATTGTAAATAAATATACTGAGATTTACCTAAAATGACTCTAAACTTAGCTAAAATAACTCAAATGATACACGGTTTATTTGGTTTACTAGACTAACCCATATTTTTGGTAAAAAGTCTAATTAACCTTCTTGAGTAACATTAATAACAATTATGCCATTATATTTTAAATAAAACAAAAAAAAAGAAACAAAACTAATATGTAAATAAAGAAAATTTTAAACGTGGCAAGAAGGCCATAATGTGTTACAAAGCCCATTTATGACAAATAGAGAAGAGAAAAATATCCAGCCGACGAACTCGTTTCCAGAAAAATTTCCGGCCGAACGACATTTAGGGGGTGTTATTGGTTTATGATTTAAATAGAGTTTTAATGACTTTAATTGTTATGTAGAATCTATTTTTATTCGATCAAGATTTTGTTAAACTCTCTTAAAATTTGGTGTTATTAGTTTGTGACTTGTAAAAAATCATTTAAAATCCTAATGAATATGGTGTTATTGGATTAAGAGTTTTATAAAGTCATTAAAAATTTTGTGTTATTCAACTAAAACAAAATAATCTATGATTGTTAATGACTTATTGTAGTAATATCCACTTTTTACTACAATTTGCTAATTACTTTGATTAACTAGACCAAACACCTTGTTATTCAAAATTAAATATTGCTAGAAATATTTTAAAATTGTAATGTACCTACATTTAAATAATATTGCTTCAGTATGAATATTGAAAATGATACTTCGAGTTTTTAGGAGCTTATGTCCAAATATTGTAAATAAATATAAGTATCGATCTTAGAGCGATGCTAATTAATAGAAATGTTATAACCTTGAATTGTTCCAAATGTCTGTAGATTTTGGGAAAGGACTTGTTTTGAGGTGGTGAAGAAAAAGTATGTGATCACTAATGTGAATGGAGACATTTTCCTTGATGATTTGGGCCTTCATCATCAAGACTCCGAGTTGGAACATCAGATGGTCCACCAAGTAAATTAATACTATTATAACCAAATTTTATTCTTATCAAAATTTAAGAAAAGAAAAAATAAATTATAAGTGAAATTTCTAACAATGTGAAACTTAAAAAATGTTAAATTAATCACATATGTACCACTTGGGATCAACACATTGGGATCTACCAAAGCCCCGAATTTTGCCAAGAGATATCCTAAAGTTTAAGTCTTTGTTCATGTTTCCACATGTATACACACATACTCACACAAAATTGACAAATAATTAATTTTCTTGAAAAAACTTAGCCAGCTTCAAGCCACCGGAGCCTTGACCGAGACCATCACACAAGCTATGAAGGATTTCGGACTCACTAGGTGATCCCTAGTTACATTTTAGTGTTGCTATCTACTTCATCTATTAAAATTCATAATTTCTTGAATATAAAATAGGGCAAAAATGTACGGATGGCCAAACACATACGTGTTCACGAAAGCAATGGAAGAAATGTTGGTAGGTGCAAAAAGGTAAAATATGTCGGTGGTGATAATTCGTCCTTCGACTATTACCAGCACTTTCAAAGAACCATTCTCAGGTTGGACCGAGAAAATCAGGTAAAATATGAAAAAAAAAAATTAACTGACTAATATCAAATTATTAACTAGTGAAGTACCAACACTTTAATTTATATATAGGACTGTGGATAGTGTAGTTGTTGGGTATGGTACAGCAAAACTCACATGTTTCCTTGGTGATCTTAACGCTATTTCAGATGTCGTATCTACTTTCATCTTTCTACATACACATTTGTGATTTTCTGTATAAGATTATAGTGTCCGCATAGAGAAACTGCATAAATATATTATTGAATTGTTTTATAATAATTTGATGGACTAGATTCTTGCAGACATGGTAGTCAATGCGATGCTAGTATCAATGGCTGTTCGGGCTGGTAGACAGAAAGAGATGATTTATCATGTGAGTTCTTTAATGAAAAATCTATTAAAATGAGATAATGCCGGAGATAGCATACATGTATTTCTCAAACAAACCATGGACCAACAAAGAAAGGATGGTGATTCGGGTCAATGATATAAAGGTTTTGAGTTCTATGCCTAGTTTTCATAGGTACATGACCATTCATTACTTACTTCCTTTGAAGGTAGTATTTCGAACCATTTGTCATGTGGTGAACTTATATTTTAAGACAAGGGTCCAGGAGATGGGACTAGCAAAAGGGTAAACTGGACATGGTTAGAGTTATTACGGATCCTAAAGAGGAAGCAAAATTCACTGTTAGCAAGCTATTACTTGGTTTGCACAAAAAAAAAAAAAAAAAAAAAAAAAGCAAGCTATTACTTGGAGAATTGTGGCTAAAAGCAAGCAGAGTTCCGTACGAAAAGGACTATGATGATATTGTCCTCTTATGCTAATTTATTATGTATGAGTTAACGTACTTAACAAAAAAGTATCTGCCAAATTCTCTATTATTCGTCTATTATTCCTCTACCTCTAAACTACCAAAAAATAAAATCTATAATATAGATAGTTAATGGGATAATAAGAAGTTTAGATCTCAGTCAGTTGGTAACAATACCAATATACCATGTGCTACATATTTCAAATCTAAAGAAAAGAAAATTATCTAATGTGTCGTCATAATGCTGTTCAAATCAAAACTAAATTATTATCTTACTAATTAAAATGGTCAACTAATCAACAAAAAAAATATTGAACAGTTTGACATATTGCTAATAAATTAAATCATTTTAGTATGGTATATAATCTATTAGTATTTAATTTTGAAGATATTTTATAGCCTATATAAATCTCACTTAAGTTCCAAAAAAACATAGAACAAGAAAAATGGTTGTTTATGTCGATAAAAACTTTTCACCAGCTTGTTTACTGGTTTTACTTCTTTTTGTTGTCTCATCATATGCAAAGTTTAGTACCATGGTTACAACAGATGAGATCCGCACCTTATGCACCAAAGCAGGTGTCAAATCTTCATTGTGTTTTGAGGTTCTAAAAGCAACTCCTGAAATTGCTAAACTAGATTTTTCTGGTCTCGCCAAATATTTGATTAATTATCATGCTCAAAATATTTCGGATACGCTGAAGCAATTTAAATTATCAGGAGGCTATATACCGGATATTGATTCTGAATATCGCTTATGTAAAGAATTATATAAAGATGCTCTCGACAAATGTCCTTATGCCCTCAAATATTTGGCTGCCAAAGACTATTACAACTTCAAATTTATGGTAGCTCAAACGATGGGAGATATGAATAATTGTATTTATGATGAGTTGTCAACAATGAAGCCAGTACCACAATTTTTTATAACGAAAACTAATGATATTCAAGAAATTGGTTACTTTATCATAGTATTTGTCGATTGTTTCATACTAAATGAACCAATAGACTGTGGTAATTCTCGCGATCTATAATTATAATAATATTTAGTATGGTTCTTGTCTTTATCCCTAAAAAAGTAATAAAGATGTATGATTTTATCCCTAAAAAAGTAATAAAGATGTATGATTTTATCCTTCACATTTATGTTTCGAAAATAGCAAATGCACCCTACGATAATCAATCCTAGGGCTAGTTCAAATCTAGTTAGATTCTCAAACCATTTTGCTACTTTAACATTTTGACAGTATCGTCAATTTTATTCATGCATAATGTTTTTTCTTTATTCTAAAACATGAATACGCACAGTTATTAGTAATAATAAGATATCAATATTACACTAGCTATTACTGTCACAACCAACTAGCGGCAGAGATCATAATTAATAAACTATGAGATAAGGAATCACACAAATTAAAACATTGAAAGCATGAAAACAAGAGTAGAGATTCTAGTATCTAAAAGCATCACAATCATGGTTACGTGTTGAAATCTATGAGTACGCTCCCGCGTGTACAACGTTGTTGTGATGGTCGTTTTTGTTTAGGGATTTTTAAGTCTCGTACTTGTATTATATTGTGTGCTTAATTAAACTTCGTTTTCTTTAACATATTTCCGTGTATGTTGTGCAAGATGCAAAACATCTCTTTACGTAATTAAGTTTCCTTTCAATCTCATGTCATTAAGCTTTTTCAAAATGTGAACGTATTGAAGATTCTTTAAATCCTTTAACAAAGGGAAAAAGATTCCTTAAAACAAAACAGGTTGGAACAATAAAAAAGATTGACAAAAAAATTCCAATATTGGTTTTAACAAGTGGTAATACTTCATATATAGTAGAGGAAAGGTTGGTCATGACCATCGAGAAACATGTAGACCAGGCCATGTGATGTAATTTGAAGATGCTAATTCGTTCGTATTCAACATATTAACAATGAGCAGGGGATTTTTTTTGGGCATGTATAGGTTGGACAGAGCATCTGAGGTGTTACGTTGAGTAGCAGACATGAATTTGACGTAACGAAAAGAAGGACAAGAAAATGTGAGATAGTGATTAATCATAGCAACTCTGATTGTAACGCTCCGACCACCACGCCTCTTTTAATGGGCCTCACGTCCTCTTTCGGGTCCGTGGGCCATCCGTATCTGATACGTACGTGAGACTTTAAAACTTGGTTATCGAAGCTACACTATAAGAATATTGGCTTTTAATAGCACAATACTATAGCGTTTTGTTCACAAATGCTATTATAAGTTATAGGACGAGTTTAAGATAGCGTTTGTAGTTTTGGAAACGCTATTAATACTCTTAACAGATAAAAATATAAACATGCGCCTAATAATTTGGGTTTCTAAGTATTTATAGCATAGTTTTTAATAGCAGAATTATCAGGAAACGCTATTAAAAGTGAACCGGGAAAACCTAAAAATAATTGGCCTTGAACCGAAACTAAATTTCCTTTTCCCTCTGAAAGTCTCGATATTTTCTTAAGTATAGCTCAGAGAACTCAAAACAAGCTCTCTTACATTGTCTCGCTCGATTCACTCTCTCACTCTCTCACTCGATTCAATCTCTCACTCGATTCAAGCTCTCTTACAATCTCTCATATCATTCGATTCAAGCTCTTTGTGTTTACGGGATCTACTCGATTGGTGTTGCATCTCTCTAACTATAAACGGTACTTGTGTGAAATTTCGTCTCGATTTAGGGTTTTTAAAAGTTGTAATTGATTCCAGTCGATTATTACCTTTGTTTGCAGGAAGATTTCGGCTTATTTTGTCACGGTCAAAGGTATGTTAGATTGTTAGGGTTTCAATTTGGGTTTCAAATTAGGATTTCGATTTGGGGATAATCGATCTGGGGATAATTGGGGTTTTCAATTTGGTTATTATTCTGTTTCTTTCTATTTGCAGAGAGCTTACTATACAATCTCCTGTTTTCAGGACTCTCATCGATGAAGTTCTTCTCCGATCAAAACCTCTCTTACGCTGATATTCTTCTCCCTCACGAAGTAAGTTTCGCTCCCAATTTTCTTCACTGATCTTCTTCACCGTCTAATCTCGTAGTTCTGACTAAAATCGCTGATTTTCTTCACCGTCTAATCTCGTAGTTCTGACTGAAATCGAAGCTCGTTGTTTCAGGCTCGTGCTAGAATCGAAGTCTCTGTTCTTAATCTCGTACCTAATTCGAGATGTTCTGGGTTTTTGAAAATTTGGGGAATAAAATTGAAAATTCTCGTTGGAACAGATCAATAGGAAGAGAAGCAATAGCTGTATAAACCAAGGGATACTCACAGATGTTTCATATATCTTCCTCTCTACTTCATTTACTAAGAGTTTTCAATTTGGGTTTCAAATTGGGATTTCGATTTGGGGATAATCGATTTGGGGATGATTGGGGTTTTCAATTTGGTTCTTATTCTGTTTCTTTCTATTTGCAGAGCCAGTGTGGGTGGCTTGAGCTCTAGGTACAAAAACAGTGTGGCTTGAGCTCTGAGTTGCTGAAAATTCTTGAAGGTAGTTTCTGCTCCATTTCTTACTCATATGATTTTTATATTTATCTGAGAAGTTGAGAATGTCCTGTATTCTAACCATTATATTTTCCTCTTAAATGTGTCTGCCTAGATCCCTACAGGAAAGTTTCAGGTGAGATATTGGCGAAATTATACAACTTTCTTTAACCGAGATACTGTTTTGCATGTTTTTAACAATATGCTCTCCAACAGGTTGAGGAGATTTACAACTTTTCGCAAGATGACCTCTTAACTGAGGATATATATATATATATACTAGACACCCATGCTGAAGTTTTTGTCTGGGTTGGTCAATGTGTGGATCCCAAGGAAAAGCAAACTGTATTTGAGATTGGCCGAGTAACTATTTCCTTATCAACTTTGCTTCTCGTTTTGATTCTCTCTCATTATTGTACTATTTGTTCATCAAGACAGTTTATGGGCAGGAATACATAGATCTTGCTGGATCCTTGGAAGGCTTGTCTCCTAATGTTCCACTCTACAAAATGAATGAAGGGAACGAGCCATGCTTCTTCACCACTTACTTTTGTTGGGATCCACTAAAGCAATCATAAGTTTTCTTGTCCTTGATATATGTTTTGTTTCATCTTCTTCGGTGAGTGCCATGAAAATGTGTCTGCTTTCCATGAAGGTGCTAGTCAGGGACTTAGTGTTGAAGAGGGATTTAGATAGTATAACTCTCTGCGTGTACCTCGCGGATTTTCCTTTGCACTTACCTTTCTTCAATGTTTTAAAACTGTGATATAGGCACAAGGAAACTCATTCCAGAAAAAGGCAGCGTTGTTATTTGGCACTCACCACGTTGTGGAGGTATTACACCTCTGCATTTTCAGTTTTGTTAATTAGGACAATGGAACAAACCCCCTTATTACTTTCCGGCTACTTTGGTTCATGATATTTGTCCTTTCGCTGCTGCAGGATAAGTCTAACGGTGGAAACCAAGGACCAAGGCAAAGGGCTGAAGCACTAGCTGCCTTAAATTCTGCTTCAACAACTTACCACGTGCGAAAGAGTGGAAACCAAGTTCAGAAATTCAGACCATTGATGATGCATTAGGTAGTCTTGTGGCTTGGCCTAGTGATAAACTTTTTTTATGTGATGATGTTTGAAAAAACTTGTTGTGGTAGTAGAGAACCTTAGTGTGTGGATGTTGCCTTAGTAGAGAAACCTGTTGTGTTGACTTTTATGTTATGTTTGGATTAATGTTATGTTTGGATTTTATGGAGTATTCATATTCTAAAATGGGGTATTCAAAAACAGGTTATCAAATTGTGTACCAATAATAACGAAAAATCGTTTATATCTAACGCTATTATTATTCAAAACAATAACATTTATAAAACGCTATTAAAGATAATACAATAATAGCAGGACATAAAACCGCTATAAAAAGTGGCGGAGCTATTATAGCGTGCGATGATATAGCGTTTGGTAAAACGCTATGGTATCTATCAATAGCGTTTTTCGACCGCTACGAAAAGCCAATATTCTTGTAGTGCTACAAATCACCACATGATCTTTCCCTGTGTTTTGTCCTCACTCACACAGTTCCGACAATAGCTTCCGGAAGGTCACCTATCCTGAAATTGTTCCATCTGAAGCACCCTTAACTGTAGAGTTCTCTCAGGACAGTTGACCAAAAAGATAAGTGCCTTTTGATGACATAGGTGGCCAAATTAATTCTTTTAGACTTCTCCCCATGCACCACCATATTCCTGAAACCAGAGTGCTACAATTCACCCCCACTAATAGATCGCAATGTCCTTGTTGCGGACCAAGTCCGTCACCTCGACGGTGTAAGCCCTCTTGACTCTACAGTCGCCTGGGTTTGGCTCAGATACCATTTATAAAGCCCCGACTATCATCTCTTTTAATGGGCCACACGTCCTCTTTCAGCCCGTAAGCCCACCATCTTCCGACGGTCGGTACGCTATGTCCGAGAACCTTTAAAGAGTTGTTACCGACCCTACAAATCACCACATAATCTTTCCTTGTATTTTGTCCTCACTCACACAGTTCCGACAAACACTTATCGGAAGGTCACCATCCTGAAATTGCTCCAGCTCAAGCACCCTTAACTGTGGAGTTCTCTCAGGACAGTCGACCGAAAAGATAAGTGCCCTTTGGTGACATAGGTGGCCAAATCAATTATTTTAAATCTATGCGCATGTACCACCATATTCCTGAAACCGGAGTGTTACACTGATATCATATAGAACTATCCTCATAGTTTAGAAGCTCTTCTATTTTTTGTTTAAAATATGTAATTTAAATTATGTAATAGGACAACGGTATTTAGAAGCTCTTACATAGACCTATATATAGAGATGAGAGTTTACAAATATCAGAAATGAAGAATAATGTATGGTTTCAAGATTTAGAGTTCAAGAAAATAATGCTGCTATTAATTTCTCTCATAAGCTCATGTCACTAATACGTTTACAAAAGGATGTGGGAGGGGCATAGGACTAATTCTTGAAGAAAGGGTGTCCCGTAGGTAGGGTTCTCCCAGATTTTTAAAAGGCCCCGAAGCAATGGGCCTATACCCGCGTGACCAAAGAGATAAAGCTGAGCAATTCTGCGTTTTAGGGAGAATTGTAACAACCCTCTCCCACAATTGTGGGTTTTTTTGTTTTAACATTAGGATTAAGTCCATGTGATTGGTAAGCCACAAAAACGTCAAGGCCTAGTCATTGTTGACACATGTATATGTAAATATGTAAGCATCTCTCTCTCCGTTAAGATAAGTAAACCCTTGCCGCTTTTGCCGAGAGAAATAAATAAAGAGAAATAATTTTCATGAGTCTTTGCTATCGCCGTTATCGTCTTGTTCATGTCTCTTTCACCACTAATCGTGTTGTGTTTTCTCAGCGACCACGTTGCCTTGGTCGGCGAATAAGACAAGTATGGGAAGAAATTGGTTGTGACGGAGACATTGGAAACGGAGATGGAGGAGACATCACATATGTTAACCGTTCAACCCTGGAACCAATGGCAATGGAGATGAGATCATTCCACAATGCCGGCAAAGCACTGATGAGTCTATTTTGTAGCCTAGTAGAGATGGTGGTATGGAGATCAGTTGAAGGGAAGAAAAAGAAGCAAGAAGCAAGAAGAAGGGAAAAGTGGAAAGGAGGGAAAGACCAAGTTTCAAAGAAGGGTGTTT